AAAAATTTTGGTCTTTCTACAATTATAATTGTAAAATATATTTTATCTTATTCAGTTCTCTCTAAAAAAAATTTTAGAAAACAATGCATCTTTTTTGCATTATTTAGAGTTTTTTTTCAATTATTGACAATTACCTTTCGCAACCGTATAATTATGGAGATAAGCGATTGTGAGACATCTTCGTCAAAAGATTCGAAAAATGCAGTATTTACAATTTCGGACTTGAAAAATTGTTTATATGGATTCTCGAACCCTTTAATCACATCTGAAATTTTTGTAACAGTGGATATGATAAGTTGAGTGATTAGTTCATAGTTTGATCATTTAAATTAATTTTTCACATTAAATAAACTTAAACAATCCATAAAAGTATGACCTGGTAATAAGTTGTCTTTTGTTTTAGTAATGCAATAATAGTCAAATACTTGATTGACTGGAAGTAACGAACAAAAATTAGATTTTATGATATTTATAAGTATTTAATTAACTATTTAATTTTGCAACTTGAAATTAATAATTTATTCATGTTAAATTATTCCACTATTTTTATCAATTAGTAATTGAAAAAAAGTATATTCAGCAGTAAGAAAGAAATAAATTATCATGATAATTTGCAATGAACATATTATAATTTATTATTTTTACTCACTCACCTGCGGGTTTTAAATGTAAAGCATTTAATTGTTCTCAACCTCTTCTAACAGAAGTAAATATGATCTTTGTTATTCCGATAGGATTAGAGTCCTTAATATTTTTTATGCGACTACTGCCAACAATTACTCTTTTATGCAATTGTTTTCATAGTCTCGAGAGTTATGGAAATGAAGTTAATTTTTTTTTTTTGACGTAAAAAATATAATTGTTATTACAAGAATATATATTTTCATAGTTCCAGTTAGAAATGACTGTAATTCCCATTTACGACCATGCTCATAAGTAAAGAAAATAATCACTGAAAATCAGTGGCACTGTATACTCGAGATAAAGTTAGCTTAATAAACATAAAGAAATAAAAAAGTTTCTTAAATAACCGCTGATTAGAAAACCTAATTAAAGTGTTGTTGATTTTGTTATTTCACATTCTGCACAGGCGATTTAAATATCGAGTTCAAGAAATGTATTCAGTAATCAAATTTGTTTAAACAGAAAAGTCACGGACACTGATGATTTTTCAATCAATATGAAATTTATAACGTTAATTTTTCGTAATTTATTGTTCTACAGTATAATATTAGGTCAGTATTTTCTTTTTTGATATAATAATAACATATTTTATTTGAATAATTTAAAATTGAAATAATTTGATGAATAAATTGGAACTGTTGAAATTATAGATATAAATTCAGTAATGTCTGAACGTTTGTCTGCGAATAGCCGTGACGTAATATCAATCATAATACCAGAAGATCCAGACGATAATTTAAATATCGACCAACTGACATTGGACTTTAGACGTCAACTTGGACGACTTATACAACGAAGTCGCTTTAATAAACTAGAAAACAACCGTTTTCGCTATGCGCCAAATGATACAACAACGTTGCTAAAACAAAAAAAAACATTAAAAGACCATCGTCAAAAATTAAACATCGACAGATATTTAATTTCAAAATTTGATCGAAGAACTGATAGTCGTTATAATAGACAAGGTACAAAGCAACCATTTTATCGGAGTAATTTATTGAAACGTTTATCGTCAAAAAGGCGAGGTAACGTTTTGCAGAATAAACGAAAGATGCGAGAAAATAAATGGAGGCATATAAATAACTTCAGTCAAAGTAGGTTGGTCAATAATAATATTAACAAAAATAACCAAAGCTCATTAGATGTTATTGATGTGGAAAATAATTCAGTAAATAAAAGAAATTCTTTTGCGTTTAATTACCGCAAACGAAAGTTACAAAGTAACAAAGTATTGTCGAATAACAAAGTCAACAATTATATGATTTTGAACCCTGAGGATGTAGAATTTAGTACCTTGCAAAAAAGTAATTCCATTCCTGATTGTTTAAGAAAAATCGATGAAAACGGTAAGGAATACTTATTATGTTTTAATGGATCAGCGATTAATTTATCTGAAACAATGATGAGAACTATCAAAAATAAAAATTATATTTATGATAGAGAGAATAATGTTAACACTAATAATCCATCATTGAATGATAAATCTCAAAAAAAAGTTTATCCGATAAATATACAGGTAAATGATTATAAAGAAATTGAAAAAATTCTACAAAATCCAGAGACCATTTTGAAGCGTATAAATCCGTTAGATATAGAAAAAAATAATAATATTAATATTAATGAAATTAATAACAAAAAAAGTAGAGGGACTCAAATAGATGATAATTCCGAAAATAATGATATAATCAAGTTGAAGACATCAAATAGTCAACAATTAAAAACAGAAGATTATTCAAACGATCGGGTGAGTGATTTTCTATCGGATAATGCAAGACATTATGATTCAATTAATAATCAAGCGACTTATCTACGGAATGCTTCACAGTTAGACTTTGATAATAAAAATTTTCCGCTGAGAATTTCAAGATCTGTTAGTAATAATCAATTTTCAAAAACACCAATGATTCACGCACGACAACGCAGTGATAAATTAATTAAGCATAAATTACCTGTAAAAAAATTTTGGACTGTTGAAGAAGAATAAAAAAAAATAATAAATCATAATAACGTGATATCATTTATTAACATCCATTTTTGATACTAATGTTTTGATAATGCGAATGTAAAGTTAGAAAGTAAATATTTTAAAATTATGTTTGAATTTTTTTAACCTTCAAACGATTCTGAAATGTCGGTATGATCATTATTATTACGAATATCTTATTCGCTCGAACCGTTTTGAAATTTACTGTCGTCATTGTCTTTGGAAGCTGTGCTTTTAGTAAGATTTTTTCGACGGTGAACATTAATGTTCAAATTCTTACCGTGTCCATCGCTGTATGAATAAGTATAAGTTTTTCCCTTATTTACACCATCTTTCATTTGTGGTCGAAGTGATGAGAATTTATGAGGACGTATCTTTATTGATTGTCGATCCTTGGAAGCTGGGCGATGATGAGTTAATGAATTAATTTTGTATTTTTGCAAATATGCATTTATATTTGGAATTGACGGATGTATTGAAATTTTTCGGGGTGAATTACGATTTTTATGATAAGAATTTAAAGAACGATAATTGGTTGTTTTAATTGATTCATCTGAAAATAATATATTATATTTTAGTGAATATTATAATAATAAGATTATGCAGCGATCAAATCATTATTAAATAATAGTATATTACACTATTTTTTGTCAGTCGACATAATTTTGTTAATTAAATAAATTAAATCCTTCACGATTTAAATTCTCAATGCTTTATGAAATATACAATCAGCGTAAACAAAATACGGTTAGTAACAAATAACGAACATATTTGGGGTACTGAAAGCAACTTCACACATGTTTCAATGCGGTAGAAAATACTATTGCTCCCGCTGTAACAAAAGACGTATGTGTAGCTCTACCAATGCACGAATGTTGAACTTTCTGCTTTAAAAAAGGTGCAAAATTTGCGTACTTTCGACCGAGGTATAAAGATAATTAATTTAATTGCATAATAATAGAGTTTAATGGAATAGGTATATTATAAGCATATTTTTTGCGGGCCCATCAACAAGATATCACAGCGACGTTTAAAAATTAATTTTTGTTTAGATTACTTTCTGCATACATTATTGCAAAAGTTTTTTTATATTAAATAATTCTTATCGAAATTTATTAGATATAATTGAGATAATTTGAAATTAACAGTGAAAACTTTGGTTATAGAAGGGATTCAACGGAGCGTGTTTATTTTATAGAAGTTAATATTTTCTCGAGCCCATTTTAATTTATTTTAAGAAACCTTAGTCAAAAAATACATTACCCGAATTACTCTTTCGTGAATGCCAATTTACGTGATTTCTAAGAGGACTATCAAATTTCATCAAATTACTTGACTCAATAGGGTCAGAATTCATCTCTATTAAATTATCGTTATCTACATAATCGTTAACGTCTGGTGAATTGAGCTCTCCGTTTGAATAATCTACAAAATTAATAGAAAAATTTTATATCTTATAAAAGATTTATTAGTGACCAAAAACATCAGCCAAGATTAAATATTAATCGAGAAATTTCATGAATACTTATTACATATAATCACATTATATTATTAAGTTGCTAACTTGTTTTGCTTAACAACCATAATTAAAGCCAAAATTTGTATCTACCGATAAAATGCTTGATAAAGTATTAATTAAATGTTGTAAAATTAATGCACAAAAATACACGAATATAATAAAAAAGAAAAAATGACAAGAGATTGATAGCTCTCTGAAAATGATCGAAAATCAGTTGAGTTGTTTTAAAATTAAGATACATGAAATAGTATTACATTTGTAGGACTAAAAATTATTTATTCAACTTTCACCTATAAATCATCATCTTTTTATCTGACTTTAATCCGGCAGTTGAATTATTTTTACTCGGATTATCTTGTTGAATTATATTACTAATGTTTTTTCGCAATTCATCTAATGATTTCGCTTTGGTTTTATTACTGTTGACCATATTAATATCCGGCAACAAACGTCTGTGTGGCCAATTGTTTGGATTATTGAAATCATTTGGATCGTAATTTGCTTGATAATTGTCTCCGTTTGAAGGTTTATTGTTGCCAAGATTCGGTTTATTTGACGATATTTTCGACTCTATAAAAATTAAAATAATCAATTTTATTAGCTAAAAGCATATTAATCACTTCATTACGTGCTATGGCTAATATTATCGTAAAATTAAATTTAGAATTTAAAGAACTTACGTATAATATCAATTTCATGATTAAGTTTGACTAGTATGTCAGAAACGACTTTTATCAAATAATGCATTTCATCGAATTTTTTTCTCATTTCCATATGCATCAGGATCGTTGTATTTTTATTATCATAATTAAGATTATAAGTTGAACTATGTATGTCAGTAAGAAAGTGTCTTAAATCATCAGTTCTTGCATTAAGATGAGTTATTAAAGCGATTTTATTACCTTCCATTGTTTCTAACATCACCTTTTTGAATGTTTTTATTTCTTGTTCGATTTTTTGACCTTTGGAACATAAGCCTAATACACATTGTACAAATTGGTCTGTTTCATCTGGAGGAGGAGGAGTAGTAGAAAGAGGAGGTTGACTATTATCAGGCCATCCTCCAACTCCGTTTCCGATATCAATATCAATATCGAAATGTTCTGTTGTGAATAATGTTGTAATATTTTGAGTAGTTTCTGGTATATTAAAAGGTGTTGTAGTGTCTATTGGCTCCGTCATTGATGAACCTGATGTCGATATATCACTTCCATCACAAGGACATGCACAAAGACAACTGCAACTTGAAGCCAATCTTGTTACCCCATATGACTTATAATAATAATTTATCCATGCGCTCAGCTCTCTAGTATACTGCTTAGGGAACAGCATAGCCGAAAATGTAGGACAGCTACAAGGACACGAACAAATACAAACACACATATCTTTAAACGGGCCATCAAAGCCAAGTTGTATCGGAGGCTGCATAAGCATCGGCTTATGAGTTGTTGTTGTTGATCTATCACTTGTTGGGTAATATGATGTGGTCTCTTCATATAGCCTTGATGTTGTTGAAGTCGACGGTGAATATAGTGGTCTGTATGTTGTTGTTGTTTCATAAGCTGGCGGCTGTCCATTAGGAGGTTGTCCATTAGGCGGCTGTCCGTTTGGTGGCCGACCATTAGGAGGTTGTCCATTAGGCGGCTGTCCGTTAGGTGGCCGATCATTAGGAGGTTGTCCATTAGGCGGCTGTCCGTTAGGTGGCCGTCCGTTAGGTGACTGCCCATTAGGAGGTTGTCCATTAGGCGGCTGTTCGTTAGGTGGCCATCCGTTAGATGGTGGTCCGTTAGGTGGTCGTCCATTAGGTGGCCGTCCGTTAGGTGGCTGCCCATTAGGTGGTGGTGGTGGTGGTGGTGGTGGTGGTGGTGGTGGTGCATAAGTTGATGGTTGAGTCGAGGGTCTTAGAGTTGGTTTATAAGGTGATGTTACGGTTACTTCAGTGTATTCTCCATTGAATGGAGTTGTACTGGTTCCAGGTGGTGATCTCGTTGAACCTAAAATTTTATTGTTAATGAAGATAAAGTGAAAATAGCTTGTTTCACATAATTTAAGTTGTTAATGATGATGATGATAATAATGACTTATGGTCAGAAAATGTATTATAAGATGGCATACCTTCTTGTGAAGGCATGGATCCAGAAATATTTATACTACTTGAAATATTGCTAACTATTGCAAAGGGCAAATTTGAGAGTAATAATAAACTACCGACACCGCCTAATACTCCGAGAGGACGATCAATTTGATTTTGAACTTTAGAGATATTTGAAATTAATTTTGAAGTTTCTAATGGGAAATATGAAGAAATTTGTTTTAATTGCGACAATTCATTTGGATAAGATGACACGAGATCATTTGATCTAGATGGACTGAAAGTTCTTGAATTCATAAATTTACCAGGAGCTACACAACTACATTGAAAAATTTTTTCGACTGCTCTTTGTACCTCCATGACTTGATCTTGAACGTTAAGTACATAACTGATAATATCATTACGAAGTCTGGATACTTCCATATTATGAGCGGCTAATGACACATCAAGTTTTTGTTCTAATTTTCCGATCCCAGAAGTAATCAAATGTCCTTGTTGACGCGATAACTGCTTCAATTCATTATGGCTGTCAGCCAAATCACTTATTTGTTCAATTGTTGAATTTACTTGCAGCAATATCCCAGGCCATAATGATTCGACAATATCAAATCGTTGGGATACATCGCTTACATTTGATGATAAAATATAGTAATTATTCTTTATTCCATTATAATTTTTCTTCATACTGTTGTAAAATTGGCTTATATTTGTTGTTAGTTCGTATAATGAATTTTTAACATCATCAACAGCATCTTGACTTTTCATTAATCGAGATATATTTGATATTATGATATCTGATTGATGATTCAATGTTTTCATTTGTCTTTTCAGATACCAAACGTCCGTTTTAACGTTGAAAAATATGCGTTGCACAACGTCATCTTGTGATCTTCTCCCACCATGGAATCCTGTAAGCAAAATTATATTATTTTCTTGAAGCATTAATTTTCAATTTCCCGCTACGAGAATTTCAATTTTAAATAATTTCAAAGTTACTGTTTTTAGTTCCATTTCTGAAAACCAAGTATCTATCAAATATTAATGTTCTGTACTCTGAGAAATCTGAATATTCTGTTTTTATCATTAATTATTAAAGAAAGTATGTATCAAAAATAATAATTAAGCTTAGATTTTAAGATTTTATTTTATTTTATGTCAAGCAAAACGTAAGAATAACTTGATGAGTTATAAAATATTAAAAACGTTGAAATTTGATAAAACTTTGATTTTCAAATAATAGCTCGCTTATTTTATTTCGCAATGATATACATTCAAAAATTACCGTATAAGTGTCTCGTATCGAAGTCATCATCATCAAAATGGTATTCTTGATTTTTTTTAATTCCCATTGAGTCCAATGAACTCAAAAACCAAAGACACAAAAAAATTCTCCACTTCATTATCATGTTCTCAAAGTGTGATAATTCTTGAAATTTTATAAAGTATCATCTTCTATTGAATACCATAAAAGAGAAAGAAAAAATGTTTTTATTCTTTAACACTATTTATAATTGAATAAATGAATGAAATAGTTAAATATATTTATCACCTGATTTATAAATAATCATGTATTTCACCGTCGAAGTAAAAAAAACACTACCTAAAATTTCGATAAATTTTATGTTATCGTCATTTAAACATTATAACAGTTTCCATTGTTACTTGGACGCGTAAATAATTCCTTGAATTAGTCCATGAAACGTAATGCTATTGAAACATCACTCTTTAAGGCTAATCAATTTTTTATTAATAAAAAAGTATTTATTCTTCTATGTTCAGTATTAATAACTTGTTTTTACTATTTTTTACAACTAACTGTCATTATTGATTATTATTATTATTATTATCATTATTTTATAGCTTATTGATGATTAATCTTGGCTGACTTAATTAATGTAAAATTAATTATCATAAATAAAACTTACATACAGACGGTGCTGGGTAACGGGGTGTTGTAAGAATCAACAAAATTGGTAAACAAATTATCGGAGGCATATCTTGTGATATAATTTAACTACTTTTTTCCAAAAGTAGAAGTAACCATAGAATTTAAATGAAAGTATTCACTTTTAAATATTTATTAATAACGAATAAACAATCTGAATAACAAATGTAAAATTGCTTACACCCAGTAGTTTTCATCGACAAGGTATCGCGATAACGAAAGATTTATTTCTAACGATAAAATTACATTCATCAATACTTTTGAGTCTGTAGTTATGATATTTCAATTACTGTGTATAATTTATAGTCTAAATAAAAGATTAATTTAGGAATGTTTATTTAGAATGATCATTTCTGAATTGATGATTTCATAAACGAATAAAAACAATAACAATCAAACTTAATCCAATAAGAAAATAAAACCATAATATCACACTATGCTTGTTAGTTTGTACAATCTTTATTGACATTGTTTTATTGGTCATTATGAGTTTGTACAACATTTATTTATTTAAAAATCAATCATTGATCTAATAATATTATACACGATGAAATGCTATGTATTTTAAATTAATTTTTTTATTGGTTTAATAAAATCGAGTTGATTGCCTCATTTTATCGAGGCTGAATGATTGATGATTTGGAGAAATTTTATAACGATATACGTTTTTCAAATCATTTAAATAATAATTGCCTGAGACATTTTTGAATTAATTTATTGAAACGTCTGCTGACTAAAAAAAATATCTAAAAAATGGTTGACCCTGAAAGCTATCCAAGGAGCGAGCTTCAACTTTCAAGCTTAAAACGCTTAAAAATATATAAATTCGTAAGTAATCGAACTCTTCAAGCTTCAAAATAAAGCTTGAAATATATACCTTAGTTATTTGCTGCACATGATATATTCATGTGGTAGCAACATGAAAAAATTACGTTGTAGTAACATGATTTTCATGTTGCAACAATAGAAAAATCCTATGGCAGGTAATAATAATCATCCAAATTTTTGTAATTTAATAATCAAAAAAATTTTTTTAATTTTTCGGATTAAACGCAAAGTAATTTGGAAGTAAATACGAGTGTATAATTTCCAATTAATATACTTCCATCGGGAGTGAAATTCATTCCGAGACCGACCGTTTTAAAAATTCAAATTGTTTCGAAACTTTTTCTTTAATAACTTAATTTCGGGAGTAAATTTGACTTCTATCCCACTCCCATCGCTCAGAGTAACAGAGTAAATTTTTCATTTATGTTATCTATATACATATGAGCGAAATACCACTGACTCATCACTAGATCTACGAAACTATTGGACCGATTCATTTAAAATTTAGCATAGGTACTCCTTATTTACCGTAGACGAGAGATAAAAAGGGATTTGACGAAATTCCTAGCCAAAATGGATTTTTTGTCAACCATCACGTATTCTCTGCCATCAGTATGTTGGTGGAGCTTTCTGGCCCAGTTTATGTGCTTTGATGTTATTATAGAGCACCATTTGCGTCTCTTTTGTGCCCATTCGCTGCGACTAGCTTCTATAGCTGCTTCCAGAGTTGACTTGGACATCGATTCAAGGCGAATCAGTGCTAATTCAGGGATCTTAAATGTCAAACTAAGTATTCCCAGACCACCTTCCTTTATAGAGGCATGGAAAAAGGCTATAGGGACGTCGTGAGGAAGACAAAGCCATCGTCTTACATAGCCTCTGACTGTCTTGTCAGTTTTTCTGAGCAATCCATATTTGGTGCGCCCTAGCACTAGGGCATGGAAGAACTTGGGGATAAGGTAGGTTCAAAGCATGTGCATCCTTTGCTGAGGTTTCAAAGGAGCTTTTGTTATTTTCTCCAGGTACTGGTCGATCTTGGCGTTCGAGGATTGGGGGCCACGGAAGGTGAAATCAACTCCCAAGAGTTTGAAGGATTCGTTTACTCCTATTTGGTGTATGTGCTGACTGTCAATCTTGAATTTGGGGGTAGTTACTAGCTTGATCTTTTTCTCTTTCCCTAGTGGTACGATGGAAAGCGCCTTACATTTCGCGGGCATTGGTGTGAGACCATGCTTGGTCATTTCTTTGACTACGGCGTCTAGGGCTTCTTGGAGACCTGCTGCTGTGCTGGCAATCAAGACCAAATCATCCGCGAAGGCAAGCGCATTTACATTTGTCTTGAGAAGTTTGAATCCAACTTCATTGGGAATCTTCTTTAAGATAAGGTCCATAATGATATTGAAGATGAAGGAGGAGAGTGGGTCACCTTGTCTCACTCCTCGTCCTGGGTGTATTGGTTCTGACTTCTCATTTCCTGACTCCAGTCTTGTGCAAGCATCTTTGTAAAGGCTTGTTATATATTGGACAAATTCTGTGGGTAGGCCTAGTTCTGTTAGAGCATATCTGATCGAGTCATGGGATACCGAATCGAAGGCTTTCATGACATCGATGAGTGCAGCGTGGAGTTCCTTAAATTTTATCCGAGTTTCATATAATACTGCTGATAGAATCGAAACATTTTCTGCTGTACCATCTGCTTTCATGAATCCACGCTGCCTATCATCATGTTTAATACCCTTGGAGAGACGGCTGGTTAAGATTTTGTGCATGTGTCTTAAAACGATTGATGATATCGATATTGGTCTGAATTTCGACGGGTCTAAGGTGTTTGATTCCTTAGGAATGAGGATGGTCCTGGAGTCACGCCATTTCTGTGGGACTTTTCTTGAAGCTAGCAGGATGTTCATGACCGTTGCCTTGACCATGTCAGGAACTTCTTTAAGCCATCTGGATGGAGCTAGCTCATCTGGACCAGGTGCAGATTTTACATCTGGTTTGCTGTTGTGAACTTCTTCGGTCGTGATGGGGGCCATAATGAATGCTAGTTCTGGTTTCTCTGACTTTGATGAGTTGTCCTTCATTGAAACGCTTGGAGTTTCGAGTAGAGGTCGCCAGAAGTTTTCTTGTTCACTGATTTTCGGAGGGTTTTGAGTTATACAGTCTCCATCGAGTATTTTTCCCGCAGCTTTGGAGATATTTTTGGATCAGAGTGATTGAATAGCTGTGTATTCTCTTTGCCTTCTTCGGCGTCTGGAACTGTGTGTTTCATTGCTGTTTTGTTGTCGATTGGTCCTCTCTGATTGTTGTGGAAACTTTACTTCAATTCATGCCATCAAGAACGGTTCGGGATCTTCGTTGTTAGTAACTGCATCTACAGCTTGGACTATGAGGTTTTTACCTGGCATCCTACATCTTCCAGAAACGAGGTATTGTCTTGCTGCGCGAAACCATGAGATTCGCTGTTGGGAGCCTTGTGGTTCGGGGACTAGTGGAGCTTGTTCGTTAATCGTCTCTGTTTGATGCGGTGGTGGAGCAGTTTTAGCACAGTGCTTGTACTCTGCGACAAGGCTTCTGTAGGACTGTTTTCTACGAAGGCTGGCAATTGATTGTGTTGTACGTTGTTGGTCTAGTTGAACATTTTCAGCTAAATATTCGTTCATAAAGCGTGTGTTTGGCGGCGCTCTGGCTTCAATTGCAGCTAACCGTAAGAGAGTGATAGTTACTCCCGCCGTTAATAAGCGCTTAAATGAATTTCTTCACGTTGACATTCATTACACTGGGCAGAAATTACAAATTTTTGGCGCTCGAACAGGGACAGGTGATTTTGTTTTCGTGGTAGCGGGAATTTTGGGTACTGCGATTTTCGTTTTAGTTAGTTTTTCACTATTATCTCACCAAGATGAGTAAGAAAACGGGTACAAAAACATGGCTATGGTCGCTCAGGAAGGACGCGGTCATTAGCGAACTTGAAAAATTTCGAGTGGAAATCGAGCCAAAGGCGACGTTGCCGGAGCTTAGATTCTTACTAAAAGCCGAACTTAATAAATTACGAGCGGCGAATGCGGGTCGCGCCGGTCGATATGACCAACTGTTGATCGACCTCGACCAATCTGAGGCCGAATTAGACAACCTGGAAAACCTGCCTGAGGAGACAGAGGAGGATGACCCCGAAAATGATGACGAGTACCTGTCAGACGAGGACCCAGAGGGCGATAATGCGTCACCCGAGGTACAGACTGCCAGACAACGACGGGCCCATTAGAAAAGATTGCGAGCCGAGATCTTATTACGCCGAGATCTTATTACGCCGAGATCTTATTACGTGAGAGGGAGAGGATAGAACGGGAGGAACGCGAACGGTTAGCACGCGAAGCTAGGGAGAAGGCTGAGAAGGAACAAGCAGAGAAAGAGCAGGAGAGGGTAGCCCGCGAGGCCGCAGAACAAGCCGACTGGGAGCTACGCGAACGATTACGTCAGGAAATACGGGCGCGACTCTTGCGGGAAAAGGAGGAACAACGAGCTTTCGAACTGCAGCTCGACGCGAGGGAAGCACGAATGAGGTACGAGGCCGAGCAGCGGAAAAAGGCGGAGCGAGAGGCCCGCATGAACACTCACGGCAACAATCGTGATCGCGTTTCGAGCTTGGAGAATGAGCGACGAGGAGGCGGAGACGGAAACCGCCGGTCAGAACGCATGGTCGACTTCGTGAGCCCGACCAGAGTAGGCCCCTCGTTCTCAGGAACACCCAGACATGACCATCAACATCTCTCGGTGCTTGGGGATGATTCTGTTGAACTCCGCAGGAGGGACCTTGTTCGCTAGTGAAACGTCGTGTTCAAAGGGGAACGCGACGTTCAAGACTTTTTGGAACGACTGGAGGAAATGGCAGAAAGTTATGGGTTCGAGATGGACCACCTGCTACCATGCATCCCAATATTGTTGCGCGAAAAGGCTCTCCTCTGGTGTCGCAACAACAAGAGAGATTGGGTCTCTTGGGAAGATTTTGTGTCGGACCTAAAATCTTTTTACCTGCCTCCGGGCCTCGAACTCGAGTTGGAAGAGCAAATCCAGAACAGCGTCCAGGTAGCAACCGAGTCTGCGGCGGAATACGCAACAAGATTGCAAACCTTGATGCGAAGATATGGCCAGATGTCAAACTCGGCCCGTCTTACCCGGCTATATCAAAATATGAGACCGGAATATCGACGTTACATGAAGCGCACAGAGTTTGCTAACGTCCCAGGACTTTTACGGCTTGCAAGAGAGTACGAGCAACTCGTTGCTCAAGAGAAACCCCCCGCGGTCAAAGAGACCAAACAAACAGCCCGGAAACCGGAAACTTCATTCAATCGAAAGCCCGCTAAACCCGTTGAACCGGCACCCGTAGAGATCTTTGAGTATAATTGGCGAGAGTGTTGCTGGCGATGCCGCCAAAAGGGGCACACTAGGGAACAATGTACGAATCAGGCGGTGAAGTTTTGTAGGCGGTGCGGAAAACTAGACGTTTATTCTCGCGATTGTTGTCCATATCCGGGAAACGCCGCGAGGACCGGCACGCGCTCCCAAAACCGGCCCGTGACCTCACAGGGAGCACCACCCCAGGGAAAGAACACTGCCCCGACCAATCCAGAGCCTCAGGCGGGCACTTCCAGCCAACAGCACTGAAGCCCGGCGAGAAACGTCCCTTCGCCGAGATTGGACTCGGTGGTATGAAAATCCATGCATTAATGGATACAGGAGCAACCGCGTCTATTACCTCCCAACGAATCTGGGATTTCATTCGCGAAAACCAATTATACACCAAACATAACCCCACTCCGATACGGGGATCGACATTAGGGAATCACGTGATTCTATCATCTGGTACAGTTTGGCTCAATGTCCAGGAAAACAATCGCTCGTACGAGCTACCATTTCATGTCATGCCAGCTTATGCAAATGATATGCTCCTAGGCGTAGATAACCTAGCGATACTTGGTTATCAGTTGTTTCGCGGGGCAGAATCATTCAACTCATTAGACATAGAACATGATTTGGAGGCTACTCGGCAAGAAATAAAGACCTGGCTCAAATTGGATGAAGAAATCGGTGGCCCTACCCGGTGTGCGACGCACAAAATTAAAATTAAACCGCGAACAGAACCAATAAAGGCGCGTTATTTTCCCAGAAACCCGAAAATGCAACAAATTACACCGGCACACATAAAAAAAAAGTGGAATGTACTTTGGACCGGACCTACCTACCGACATGTATTTCGACCTGCTGAATCCGAATTTCAAGTCCGTTTGGCCCGGTCGCCCTCCAGTTTTGAGTAAAATGCAAAAAACCTCAAAAAAGGGCAAAAAATTGCAAAAAACTGCAGTCACAGCAATAAAAAAATTTTTGTGGACCCGGATCACGTATGATTTTTATGTATTTCAATTTACTGAATCTAAATCTAAAAGTTACTTAGTCCGATGAGCCGTTCAAATTTGAAAAATAACGAAAAACCCAAAAAAAATTGCAAAAAATCATGAAAAATTGAAGTTTTCGAAATAAAATTCGTTTTAGACTCGGATTGAGTATGATTTTAATGTATTTTGTTCCGCTGAGTTTGAATCTGAAGTTTTCTTTCCCGCTAACGTTTTAAAATTAAAAAAAATCTCAAAAAACCAAAAAAATCGGGAAAATTGCAGTTATAAATATGAAAAAAAAAAATCTATAAAATATGATTAAATACTTTTTTTGTATTTTTTCACGCATAAAATACAAGTTGAGAATTTGAAACTATGAAAAATTGTAATTTCTATAAAAAATGACGTATAACTAGAATAAAAAGAACGATTTTCTCGAATTTCAAAATGTTCTTCGTTGGTATCGAACTCTTTTGTTCTCAAACGATCTACGCAGTGGATTTTCCTTCCGCTTGTTATTATCTCTTGGTGTATCCCTTTCAAGTGTCCAGTGAACCACTACTATGTGTACTACTATTGTTTCCAGTATTTGAAAGGAAAATTTTCTGCGATAAGTGATGCAAAATCAAAAGAAGGAATTTTTGATGGATCCCAAATTCGAACTCTATTTCAGTATCCAAATTTTATAGAGTAAATGAACGAGACGGAGAGAGCAGCTTGGGTAAGTTTCAAAAATGTGTCTCAAAACTTTTTAGGAAATCAAAGAAACGAAAATAACAGGACGTTAGTAGAAAAATTGGTGACAAATTACAAAAATTAAGTTTTCTTAATGAATCTCAAACTACACTTCATGGATTCTCACATTGACCACTTTCCTGAAAATCTTAGAGACTACAATGAAAAACAAGAAGAATGATTCCATCAAGACATAAGTGAAATGGAAACTAGGTATCAAAGAAATTGGAATATTAATACGATAGCAGATTTTTGCTGGATACTTAAAAAGGATACACCAAGAGATAATAACAAACGGAAGGAAAATCCACTGCGTAGATCGTTTGAGAACAAAAGAGTTCGATACCAACGAAGAACATTTTGAAATTCGAGAAAATCGTTCTTTTTATTCTAGTTATACGTCATTTTTTATAGAAATTACAATTTTTCATAGTTTCAAATTCTCAACTTGTATTTTATGCGTGAAAAAATACAAAAAAAGTATTTAATCATATTTTATAGATTTTTTTTTCATATTTATAACTGCAATTTTCCCGATTTTTTTGGTTTTTTGAGATTTTTTTTAATTTTAAAACGTTAGCGGGGAAAAAAAACTTCAGATTCAAACTCAGCGGAACAAAATACATTAAAATCATACTCAATCCGAGTCTAAAACGAATTTCATTTCGAAAACTTCAATTTTTCATGATTTTTTGCAATTTTTTTTGGGTTTTTCGTTATTTTTCAAATTTGAACGTCTCATCGGGCTAAGTAACTTTCAGATTTAGATTCAGTAAATTGAAATACATAAAAATCATACGTGATCCGGGTCCACAAAAATTTTTTTATTGCTGTGACTGCAGTTTTTTGCCCTTTTTTGAGGTTTTTTGCATTTTACTCAAAACTGGAGGGTGACCGGGCCAAACGGACTTGAAATTCGGATTCAGCAGGTCGAAATACATGTCGGTAGGTAGGTCCGGTCCAAAGTACATTCCACTTTTTTTTTTGTGTGCCGGTGTTATGAATGACGAAGTTGACAAAATGCTGAAAGATGGAATCATCGAACCATCAAACAGCCCGTGGAACTCTCCTGTCGTGTTAGTAAAGAAAAAGGACCGAAAATACCGGTTTTGCGTAGATTTCAGGAAAGTAAACGACGTCTCCGAGAAAGATGCATTCCCAATATCCCACGTGAGTGCGTCATTTGATAAATTGCGGAAAGCTAAATTCACCATATTCGCCTCAATGCAATCCAGTCGAAAGAACGAACCGAGTCATAGGAATAATGATCGCCCAATTCGTTGGAACAAACCAGTGAAACTGGGATAAGCAAGTTCCAGAGTTCACTTTCGCCTATAACACTGCGAAACATGACGCGACAGAATTCTCTCCGGCGTATTTGAATTACGGCCGCGAAATCCTGCCTCCTTTGTCAATAAGGGCACGAGCCGACGAAGGAAAAGGCGAGGTTTATGATCCACATCGGGCAGCCAAGACCTTGGAAGATACCATTGAGTTGGTCAAGGTTAATCTGGCCCAAGCCTATGGGAAACAAGCAAAATATTACAATCGCAAACGTGGTTCCTGGCAACCAGCTCTTGGAGACCTGGTCAGCAAGAGGGAACACCATTTGTCATCGGCGATTGACCACTTTTCAGCTAAACTGGCGGAGAAGTACGCGACGGGTTTTACGGTAACTAAAATCATCGGTCCTTCCGTATACGAAGTTAGCAAAGAAGGTAAAACGTTCACCGCGCACATTAAAGACTTGAAACCTTTCCATGAGGGAATCCCCCGGGACCTGACCAGGAAAAACCTGACCGTGAACAAAAAGGCCCGTCGAGAATTGAATAAAGCCATCAAAGATAGTAAGCCATCAAATAACTCCCAAAGACGTTGTTGGAAGGAACTCGTCGAAGAGGTAGAGAACGATCTGTGGGGCAGACCGTACAAGGTGGTCATGACCCACCTGAAATATCAACCAATACCGTCACCTACCTGCCCACAGCTACTAGAGAGATCGTCTGTACGTTGTTTCCTCAGCAACGTGAGTTGATCCATTCATCACTGCAGTCCATTCATCACTGCAGAGGAGGAATTGTTGGAGGCATGCGATCATGTAGGGAATAATAAGGCGCCAGGATTGGATGGAATTCCAAACATTGCTTTAAAAACATCCATTAAAGCAGCGCCGGCATTATTCATAGATACCTACAATGCGTGTCTCAAAGAAGGAGTCTTCCCTGAAAGGTGGAAGTGGCAAAGACTTGTACTGCTCCCGAAAGGAAAGAAGCCACCTGACAAACCATCATCCTACCGTCCACTCTGCATGTTAGACACG